AATGTATTTGTTAAGCTCACGTCACAATTTAATTAACTTTTAAATAAAAAATTAAAAAATGAAATTTTAGATAAAAAAAATTAAAAATAGATATTTTTATTTAAAAATTAGTAAAGTTAATATTTTTTAATAAAAAATAATTTTTTTTTTTCAAAAGAGAGAATTAAAAAAAAAAGGGGGGGAGGCCCCAACAAAACTGTTGCTCCCCAAACATTTGGCGGACCTCTGCTTTGGTTGCTATGCCAAGTTGTCTTCACTCTGCTCCGCTTACTCCGGTCAGATCAACTCTCGGCCTCCGTCGCATCTTCTCCTTCAAACAGTCAATTGCTGAGTCAGATATGGCTGCTAACTCCGTCCGCGTCGCCGCCGCTCAGATGACCTCTGTCAACGACCTTGCATCCAATTTCGCCACCTGCTCACGCCTTGTCAAAGTAAAATTTTCGACTCTTTCACTTCTTTCAACCTTGTCTGCTATTCCTGCTTTCATTTCTAATTACACAATGCAATTACAAATCCTGTGTTTGATTTCGCGATTCGGTGGAGTGTTGATCGCAAAATCGGATCTTGGATTTTATTTACTGTTTAAAGTCATGTCCTTTATTAGAACTATGGATGTGGATGCTTAGCTAAGTGTTCTTGCGTTTGAGTTTTTGAATTGGTTTTTCATCACTGGGTTTCTTAAACTAATTTTTGGGGTTTTCACCTGAGAAGGAAGCTGCCTCAGCAGGGGCTAAAATGCTTTGCCTGCCGGAAAACTTTTCTTATATTGGCCTTAAGAGTGGAGAAGGTCTCACGATTGCAGAACCTTTAGATGGACCCATCATGCAAAAATATTGCTCTTTGGCAAGGTAATATCCTGATGGATGCTTTCTCCTTTGAATTTATTTTCATTTCATTCAAGTTATATCTTATTTTACACTTCATTCTTGAATGGACTTAGTTGAACTTGTGAAGTGCAGGGACTCTGGTATTTGGTTATCACTTGGAGGCTTCCAAGAAAAAGGGCTTGATGATGAGCACTTGCGTAACACACATGTTATAATCGATGATACTGGGAATATTAGAAGCACATACCGCAAGATACACCTGTAAGATGGTTTTTATGTTTTCTATGAGACATTTTTTTCTCTTTTTATGTTTTCTACCTGTCATCTTTTCGTTTTTGGCCGGTTTCTAACTGTCATCTTTAGTAGTAGAAATTTGTACGACTCAAAATATGTATGGATTAATTGATCTGACTCTTTATCCTTTTTTTTTATTCTGTGTTTGAAGGTTTGATGTAGATGTTCCTGGTGGAGCAGTATACAAGGAAAGCAGCTTTACTGAACCAGGTAAACTTTGTATATTCCATTGTTCTACAGTTTTAGCCTGTTGCTCCTATTTCACTTACTACCAGTCTATGAGGCAGTGGCTCTTGATGAATATGTGACTATTTGTCAAACTTTTTTTTGGATCTCAGCCAATCTCTTAAAGATGACATTGATGTGAATCCCATTTATTCTCCCCAATAAAATGGTAATAGCATGCTTCCAGGTTTGGATCTATAGAAAAATCTTCTTATCATATATTATTTGGGTTGGAGTCATATTTCATTTGTCCTTTTTAGCTTTATTCAAAGAAACCACATATGTGGATTCATATGGCTGGTCAACTATGAGTTATGAGGTATCGTTTACTTTTTAATTAGGACTAGTCATCTACATGAGACATTTAAGAGAGAAGGTAAATTGTATTTGGTATTTGGTCAACTATGAGTTATGAGGTATCGTTTGCTTTTTAATTAGGATTAGTCATCTACATGAGACATATAAGAAAGAAGGTAAATTGTATTTGGTATTTACTCAGTCTGGATTGAGATGATTTCAGGGAAAGATATTGTTGCAGTGGATAGTCCCATTGGGCGTTTAGGTCTCACAGTTTGCTACGATTTGAGATTCCCAGAGCTCTACCAGCAGCTAAGATTCCAACATGATGCACAGGTATAGCTGGGCCGCTGATTGCCTAGACTCCCAGTTTGTTTAATTTTCAACAATATGACACTTGCAGTTTGGTCTGTGGATTGGGTGTGACAGGTTATCTTGGTACCTTCAGCTTTCACCATGGTAACTGGTCAAGCACATTGGGAAATTCTTCTTCGCACTCGTGCAATTGAGACTCAGTGCTATGTAAGCAATTCATTTCCACCTTGCTTTAACTTTTAGCTGAATCCAACTGAGCTCTGGCCCATAGTGATGAATCCTTGTTACTTTACCCTCCATCTGGACATAGTTATTTTATTTTATATCTGAGGCCATCTTAAATGCTGTTTTGCTGCCTGCTAGTTTGTTTTTGAGGTGACACAATAAAAATCCTGTTCAGGTCATAGCAGCTGCACAAGCTGGAAAGCATAGTGACAAAAGAGAAAGCTATGGTGATACTTTAATAATTGATCCGTGGGGAACAGTAGTTGGTCGACTACCTGGTTAGATCTAGTTACTTGTTTATTTGCCCATTGGTCATTATCATTCACATGCTCATCTCTGGGAATCAGTCTTTCTTCCTTCAAAGTTAAAACTTAAATATTAGATTGACAAAGTAGATTGCTTTTTACTGCTTTGGCTTTATTTCTTATTCTTGAGTTTATATTTTGACAATTCAAACAACATCAGTTTCTGAACTTCATTCTGTTTTTCTGTCTCAGATCGAGTGTCAACTGGGATTACTGTAGCTGATATCGATTTCTCATTGATTGACTCAGTGAGGACAAAGATGCCAATTGCAAAGGTAACTGTGAATATAACCTTTTAGGCACCTCAAAACCAATTTGGCTAGCTGGCAATCAACTCAGAGTAGGACTGTATCCATTATCTGTACTGAAGGCCAGGTGGCCTCTTCTAGTTCAATGCCAGCTAGAAATAAGCCTTTGCATGTATGGTCTCCGCAAATTGGCCAATATGCTCAAAACCACCTCGGATAACTATTCTTGCAGTCTAAGCCACAAGCACTAGAAAACTGTATGCTGTCATCTTATTTGGTGTGTGGTTGGAACTAATTTATGAACTTGGATGATCTATCTTGTTTGAAACCAGACTGTGCTTGTGGCAAATAATGACCATTTATCTACTAGTTGACCTTGTCATGTTAGCCCCTATAGGTAGTTAAGCATGCATCCTCACCTACATGCTTGTATTCAAGCCACTCTTAGAAAATTGTGGTCTTTAGCAGGCTGTTAAGCATGTTGCTTTCCTGTGCATGAATAATATCAGATATAATTCACATCATGGTAAAATCATAAATGATATTGCTTTTGTCTTTTTGTCCAGCATCGGAAACCCTTTGACTTCTGGAGACCTGCATCCCTATGATGTTGAAGATAGTATGGTTTTGCATCCTCCATGATCGAGATCTTTTCCGGAGCCAGATTGAATTCTTTTTGTACTCTAAAAACACTCAGAGGGTCCATTCTGAAGGATAATAAAGTAATTAATAGAATGACAGCTGTGTCTTCCTCAAACTGCTAATATGGTTACTGCCTGATGTATACCTGTTCTATTGCATTTGAAGGAATAACGTGCCCTGCTCTTCTTTCTCAAAGTAAGCTGCCTGATACTGCTGCGAGTGCTCACTTTTTGATAAAAAGTTATTTATGATTACGTTGGAACTCCCTTTGTTATATCTCAACAGAGAAGACAAAATCCCACCCTTAAACCACGCAGATGGCAAGGTAACGTTTCTCTTGGTTTATCAGACAGTAATCAATTACGTACAATTGTGATGAGTTCATATATTACAAAAGAATCAAGAAATTTTCCCCTTAATTTCTTGATCATAAAGGATTTCAAGAAAAAGAACAGAAAAATACAAGGACAAACAGAAAAACAGAAAAACAAACCCCCAGAACCCAAATTCGGAAGTATAGGACTATATATACAACCAACAGAAAAGACTTGCCCTCTGACAATCATTTTAAAAGGAACTCATGAATGGAGTCAGGAGAGGATAGAAGGTCCAAAGCTCTGTTGCCTAGTGTGTCTTTCAAGATTGTTATCTGACCTTCCTTCAAAAGTATGTCCTCGTCTAAAGTCTCAATCTTCTTCTTCAACAAGTTAACCTCAGAGTTCAAAAGCATGTTCTTCTCATTGTACTGCTTTACCTCCTCCCACATTAAATCTCTCTCCTCAGAAACCTTGGGCAATATTCCCTTCATGATTTTTAGTTCCTTTGTGGATTCTTGAAGATCATTTTGAAGACGGTTTATGTTGTCATCTTTCTTCATCATCTGTTAAGCAGAGAAAAATAAAACTAAGGAATCCTTAAACTAATTCCATTAAGAACTAAATGTCAAACGTCAAACCAAGCCAATTTCAGCAAATATATGTTGCATCTGGTATTCAAACAGGTATTAAGCACAGTGAAATAAATTTATTAAAAGCTTATTTAGTGAAATAGGAAATGTAAATGCTACCTGAAGTTCAAGATCCTTCAATCTGTGAGTTAGACAAGAAATGTTGTCCATTGCATTTTGAACTTCACAGCTGAGGATATCATTACCTCTCACAGCTGCTGCCAACTCAGCTTGCAGTTGTTCCACTTCTAGCTCTTTGGAATATAATTTCTCTCTTAACAAACTGGTTAGTAAAATTTCTGCTTTAAGCTCACTTTGTAGAATTTCCTAGAAAAGTAAAAAAGATAAACATTAACGACAGTGATATAGATTGTCGACCAAATGTTGAACCAAGGTGCCTCACTAACTTAAATGCACAAATCAGTAACTCAATAAAGAGGAAAGTAAAATTTAATTGAGCATACTTAAAAGGTAATGAGCAACAAATAGATATTAAGCATCCTTAGCTCTATTAGGTTTCAGCAGAAACTCACCTGGTCATATAGTTTCTCTGACCTATTAGTATCCTGAGGTTGTAAAGCACTGGATTTCTCATGCAACAAACTAGACATTGTTTGCAAACTCCTAGTAAGATTTTCAGTTCCACGTTTAAAGCCCTGTACTTTCATGTTGCATTCAACAATAAATTGACTGTCCAAACCATTCCTGAATACTTCTAAACACATCTGAGTTTCTTGTTGCTGGCTGCCTTTTCCCTTGATGAAATCCAGCAACTTGGAAGATAACCGGTTGCTCCCATTAAGCATTAACAGTCCTTGGTTTTGCAAGCAGCATACACGAGTCTGCATCTCCTTGTCTAGCTTAAATGTTAAAGCATCAAGTTCTTTGCCATTAACTTTTAAACGATCTAACAAGTTGATATTTTCGTGACGAAGACAATCAACTTCAACCTTGTAAGATTCCAACTCCCTTCTCAAAGATAATTCTACTCCTGTCAACCTCATCTGTTCCATTTGCAATTTTGCCACCCGCTTATCAAATTCCTGGGATGAGTACTGCTTCCCAAGTTCCTCCCCATATTGTTCTTGTAACCCCTCAATTGTCTTCTCTTGTTCACTGCAAGTTCTCAACAATCTTGTAATGGATTTTTGCAACTCCTTGCATTCATTCTCCTTCTCTTCAAAATTTCTTTTAACACAACATGCATCTTCATTTGCTGACCTATACTTCTCTTGTAATGCAGAGAGATTTTGTCTTAAATCTTGATTCTCTTCATCCAACTCCTCCACCCTCCTGGTCAGCTCCTTGAGTTGTTGTTCTGAATGTGTTATCATGCTTCTGGTTTCTGCATCCCTCTGACTAAAGGATGAGACTTCCCTCTGAAGTGAAACATTATGCTCTGCTAACTCTCTGACTCGCTCACGAAGCCTTTGTTCTTCATACCGGTATTTCTCAACCTTAACTGACCAATCACTTGACCTTCTATCCAGCTCCTTCTCCAATACCAGCTGCAAATCATCCTTTTCCTTCTCAAGTTTTCTAGTCTGTGACTCTAAATCTGCCTTTGCCACTCTGAGTGCTTCCTCAGAAGAAGCCCTGTCTATAATTTGAGACTGTAGAAGGCCTAGAACCTCCAGAGCCAAGTTAAATTTCTCCTGTGTTAGGTGCTTAATGGTCTGGATTAGTGATGGAATGTCAATCCCACGGTCACAAAGAAAGCTTTCTTTCTCAAGCTGTTCAGAAAGAAGCCTGGCCCTCTCCTCAGCTTCCTTATATTTCCTACGTAATTCAAAACATATATTCTCTTCTTCAAGTGAGGTTAAATCCTCAGAGCTGACTGCAAAGAAACAATCTTGCTTTTGCAAACCTCTGTAATCTTTCCCTCTGTCAACAAATTTGTGAGGTCCATCAAATGCACAACTCTTTGGGCTAAGGACATTCAAATCTGTATCAAGGCATCTATTCAGGGAACCAGCATAAACATCGTCAATTGTGATTGGAATATTGTGGTTGAGCTCCTTCGAACTTGATCTGGGTAAAGTATGAGTCTGAGAAAGCCCCTCAATCACATTCTTTGCAAGTCTACAAGGAGATTCATGGCCAAATCCATTTTCCACCCAATCTCTAGATGAAAAGTGAAGACAAGTACCTTTAGCTTCCCTATATGAATGAGACTTGGGTTTATCTCTGGCACCATCTGTTGGTGAGATAGAGGCAGCATAGTGAACTTTAAGAGGATGCCTTCCGTAACCATTCCCACTTCTGGAATTATTTCTCTGGGAACCATTCTTGGGCCTGCTCCTTTCCACCTGCTCTTCTCCATCAATGTAGCGATCAATGATTTTAGTTGAGACATTGCTTGAGCAATAGGAGGAGGTGCTGAATGAATCATGGTCTGCCCCAGAAGAATCAGGCCTCTCCAGTACATGTGTTGCTTGAATAGCTGCCACTTCACAATGTTTAGTCCTAGAGTGCCTCTCTGGAGTGAGAGCCCTACCACTGGCATGAGCCAAAAATACATCAAATTTGACCCCACAAACACTACAAATAAACATGATGATTCCAAATTCAGGTCACAAAAACAATGAATCATAAACAAAAGCATGTAGCAAAGAAGTGATATATCCAAATTCTCACCCAGACAAATGTTTGTGTTGCTGATTGGGAGCACTACTAGGAGACCTATTTCCATCAACAAGAAAGGGAGCTGATGATAGGGACTGGCTTCTTTCTAGACCTGAACCACTACCAGAGCTTTGGCTTTCAGACATTTGTTTACAAGATTTCGGAAACACCCTTCTGGGGCTACCACTTTCCCAGTAAAGTTGCTTCTCTGCTGAGGGTGGAGAACTCCCTTTGCTGCTGCCATTGTTGGAGGAAGACTTGAAAAAGAATAGCTTCTTCATCTTAATTTCTTCAACATGTAAAATATGGACCAAACAGAACCTGAAGACATCATCAAGATCAGTGCAAATAAAAGAACAAAGGACACAAACCCAATTAATCTAGTAATCTAAAAAGGCAAAAAAAAAAAGAAAAAAAGATGCAGTATTTTCTGTTAGCAGCACTGAATCATTTAATTGTATAGAAATAAAATAAACCGAAATAATCGACCCCAATTCCCGCACGCCAGAAGAACTTAGGATTTAATTAATTAATTTTTCACATAAAAAATATAATTAATTTTCAATCCCTTAAAACCCTGCAACAAATTACACATGCTTCAATGAATTAAAAAAAATTAAAAAAGAAAAAAGAAAAAAGAGTGCGGACTGATTGTCAGAGTAAAAAATTACTTACTTACCTTTTGCGAAATTCTCCAAATTTATTCAATAATTCTTAAAAAAATAGAAATTTGGTGTTTGGTTGGTGAGAAAGGAGGAAAGAAAGAACTACAAAAAGGACGAAACTGAGAATTTTTTTTCCTTTTTCCCACCAGGTTTCTCTTCAAATGGTCAAAAATCACCAAAAAGAAATCTTTTCAAAAAAATTCAAAATTGAACAGAAAGAAGGGGAGAATCATTTACTAACTTACCATTAATGGCGAGATTTCAAGATCCTTAATAATTCTCAGGAAAGTTCAAAATTTTGAAAAACAAATTGGAAATTAAGAACCAGAAACTGCGTAGTCAATGAAAGCAAGAGAGAATCAGAATCTTATTTAACGGCGTTAATAGCCGGTGTTCAGTAACGTTCGAAATCTGGGTGGACAGTGGACTGGGAAAGTTCATATTTGACGGTGACGCGATTTTCTGGTTTTTGGATGAAATTAGGATAATTTTTTTAATATAATATTTTTATATA